CCAGGATGCCCATACTAAGCCCTGTTCCCTTTTCCCCAGGGCCTGGCACAGGTCTGGACTGTGCCAGGATGCCCACGCTGAGCCCTGTTTCCTTTCCCCAGGGCCTGGCACGGGTCAGGACTGTGCCAGGATGCCCACACTGAGCCCTGTTCCCTTTTCCCCAGGGCCTGGCACGGGTCAGGATTGTGCCAGGATGCCCACGCTGAGCCCTGTTTCCTTTCCCCAGGGCCTGGCCCGGGTCAGGATTGTGCCAGGATGCCCACACTGAGCCCTGTTCCCTTTCCCCAGGGCCTGGCCCGGGTCAGGACCGCCAGTGACGCCGTGGGGGTGGTGCTGAGGGAGCTGAAGCAGCAGAGCCCCCTCGGAACCTTCCGGCTGCTCGTGGCCGTGGACGGGGTCAACGCGCTCTGGGGCCGCACGACGCTCAGGAAGGAGGACAAGAGCCCTGTAAGGACGGGGTTGGGGGTCTCTCCTGCCCTGCTGCCAGGGACAGGGGCAGGGGAGGGGGTTTTGTGCAGCCTCAGCTCATCAGTGATCCCTGGGAGATGCTCGCTCCCTGCCAGGCCCATGTTTTTAGGGAAGGACAGTCCCTCCCAAAGGCAGACCCATGTTTTTAGAGAAGGACGGTCCCTCCCTTGCCAGGCCCATGTTTTTTAGGGAAGGAAGGTCCCTCCCGAAGGCAGGAGGGCTGGGGGGTGTTGTTAGAGTAGCAAAGGCCTGGGGGGTTTCCTGTGCAGCAATGACTTGGAGCTGCAGGGCCGAGGGAAAAACCTCCCTGAAGACACAGAGGATCCTCCCAGGGAAAAACCTGCCTGAAGGACAGAGAGGATCCTCCCAGGGAAAAACCTGCCTGAGGGACACAGAGGATCCTCCCAGGGAAAAACCTGCCTGAAGACACAGAGGATCCTCCCAGGGAAAAACCTCCCTGAAGGACAGAGAGGATCCTCCCAGGGAAAAACCTGCCTGAGGGACATGGAGGATCCTCCCAGGCTGATTGAAGGGAGGGGAGGGGAATTCCTGTGTCAGGCAGAAGCTGCTGGCATAAAAACCCCAAAACTGATGTGTCAAATCTCCTCCAGGTTTCTCCAGAGGAGCTGACGCTGGTGCACAACCTGAGGAAGATGATGATGAACGACTGGGTGAGTTCCAGGCTGAGCCTTTTGGGGCTCATTAAAGCCACCCCAGGCCCAAAGGCCACAGGTCCTGCAGCCCAGTTGGGTCTCCACCAGTGTTGGTGTCTCATCAGTGCTTCTGGCATCACCCAAAGAGAAGGGGAACAGCTCAAATCCAGAGCACTGCCCGATTCCTGTGCCAAATTCCAGTGTAGGAGCCCGAGCTGGAGGTGTTTGATAGCCCTTAGGACATCTGGGTTTATGATTTTTTTAACTGATTAGAAGTTTTAGTCCCTGCTTTTTCAGTCCCCTGGATGCTCAGAGCTCCAACAGTTGGGCTTCAGATTTAAAGGTCCTTTTTAAAAAAGCCTTTCAGTTGTTTGCAAACAAAACCATTTACAGGTAAGAGATGTTTAACACACAAGCTGTGTGTTCCCTGTGTTCCCATGGACCTGGAGTAGCAGAGTTAACGTGGTCAGGAGCATTTTAAGTCCATTTTATAGAATTTTGCAGTTGATGTAAGATCAAAGAAGCACAGAATCCCAGACTGGTTTGGGTTGGAAGGGACCTTAAAGCTCATCCAGTTCCCACCTCCTGCCATGGGCAGGGACACCTTCCACTGGCCCAGGTTGGTCCAAGCCCTATCCAACCTGGCCTTGGACACTTCCAGGGATCCAGGGGCAGCCACAGCTTCTCTGGGCAACCTGTGCCAGGGCCTCCCCACCCTCACAGCCAGGAATTCCTTCCCAACATCCCCCTGAGTCAGTGGGAAGCCATTCCCTGTGTCCTGTCCCTCCATCCCTTGTCCCCAGCCCCTCTCCAGCTCTCCTGGAGCCCCTTTAGGCCCTGCAAGGGGCTCTCAGGTCTCCCTGGAGCTTCTCTTCTCCAGGTGAACCCCCCCAGCTCTCCCAGCCTGGCTCCAGAGCAGAGGGGCTCCATCCTGGAACCTCCACGACCTGCTCTGGACTTGCCCCAGCAGCTCCATCTCCCGAGAAGAAGGTTCCTGGTGGGTTGATTGTGAAGCAGTGCCGTGCTGGCAGCTCTCAGGGTTTGTTTGTGCCCTGCCTTTCAGAGTGGAGGGGCTGTTGTGACCACCCTCAGCCAGACAGGCTCGCTCTTCAAACCCAGCTCTGCCTACCTGCCCCAGGAGCTGCTGGGCAAGGTGAGTCCCGGGGCCTCCTTTGGGGTTGCTTTGGTTTTATTTTTCCTCTTGGCTTTGGGAAACAAAAACCCCTGGTTGGGGGCCCAGGTTGTGTTCAGGGGGACAGACTGTGCTGTGTGTGGAGGGACAGCTCCAATCCCTGCTCTCTCAGCACCCAGGGAAGGGCTGGAGCTGTGCCAGGGCAGGCTCAGGTTGGATCTCAGGAAAATCCTTCCCCCAGAGGGTGGTTGGGCACTGCCCAGGCTCCCCAGGGCAGTGGGCACAGCCCCAAGGCTGCCAGAGCTCCAGGAGGGTTTGGCCAATGCTCTGAGGGACGGGGTGGGATTGTTGGGATATCCTGGACTGGATGATCCTTGTGGTTCCCTTCCCTCAGGATATTCCACGACTGAGCTCTGGTAAAGGTTCACATCAGCTACAAACAACTGCTGGATGTGTTTTCTTCTTTCTCCTCCATCTTTCAGCTAAACTTGTGACAATAAGTATTCTGGAAGTGGTGTGGAGTCAGTAGAAAGCTTGAAGTGCTCAACAGCCCTCTTTGTTAGAAAGCTGGTCAGGGAATTTGCAGAACTGTGAAAATATCCATTTATTTCTCATAGTGAGTGAATTGTATTAAACCAAAACAAATAAGTAATTATTAAGCAAAATTGTTCAGATCTAAGATAAAACCTGTACTACCATAAAATGACATTTTGTTAGCTTCCTTACACCAACTAATTCCCAAGCTACAGGTCCTTGAGAACTTTCTGGTGAGCTGAGTGGAGGAGAAGTCCAGTCTCTCCTCTGCTGTGCTTGGGTTGTTGCCATGGAAATACGACATCTTCAACTTTCTTTTGGTCCTTTCCCAGGCACAGGATAAAATAAAGCTCCTGTTAGAAGGAGAATTCCTCGTGGACATTATCAAGTCACTCAGATGCAGTTGCATAAGTGACTGAAAGGTGCTTCTCCTCTGTGTTCATGGAACCAGAGTTACTCACAGCTGCACTGCAGGATTGTAACAACCCCCTTTTCTTTTTCTTTATTCACCTTGGAGGGGAAACATCCTTAAATTAAGGCGTGTTTTTCCACGCCTTAGCAAATAAAAGGCTACAGGAAAGTTCCTTCTCAAAGCTCCAGCTCTGCATGCACTGGGTTAATCAGTCACCTCGTGGAGAGGCAGAATCAACCCCTGCTTGTGGAGATCCATCCATCCAGGCTGTGTCCAGCTGTTACTCACCCAGCCCTCCCTCCCTTCCCCCTTCCCTAGGAGGGGTTTGACGCCCTGGACCCCTTCGTGCCCATCCTGGTGCCCAACTACAGCCCCCGGGAGTTCGAGAGCTGCTACGGGTATTACCTGGAGCGCAAGTGGCTGCAGCACGAGCAAGGTCGGTGCCCCCGGGGCTCTGCCCGCCCTCTCTCGATCTCTCTCAATCTCTAAATCTCTCTTTCTTTCTCTTCCTCTCTCCCCCAGCTCGCACGGAGGACGGGAAGGCGGAGCTGCAGTTCCTGAGCGGCTCCAACCCGCGGCAGCTGGACCGGCTGGCGGGGCCCCTGTAGGGCAGGAATCGAGGGATGGGACCCTTCCCTCGCCCCCAGCCAGGGGCAGGAATCGAGGGATGGGACCCTTCCCTCGCCCCCAGCACTGCGGGCTGGGCGGCTGCTCCCTGCTCCGCGGGTTAAATCTCCCCCTCCCGTTAATTACTGTACAAATTTGGTATTAAACAACGGCCTCTCTCAAGAGGATTTTACACATTCCACGTTCTGCCACACCGAACTGGGGCGTCTGACACCCGACTGGAATTCTGGTTAGCACGTTAAATGTTCACAGAGGTGCTCCACGCAAACCAAGCCCGGAGGGAACGAAGCACACGCGTGGAATAAATCAGCCTGCACAGGCGTGGGGAGGGGGCGTTTTTGCCGATCCCCAAAGTTTATCCCGTAAAGGAGCAACTACGATTTTCATTTCCTCAAGGGGTTATTATTTCAGCTCGTTCCCAGCCCGGGAGCTCGTGGGGAATGTCACGGGGAATTCTGAACCACCGGTGGTTGTTCGCAGCCAGGGGGATCATCCCAGGGAATGTCACGGGGAATTCTGAACCACCGATGGTTGTTCGCAGCCAGGGGGCACATCCCAGGGAATGTCACAGGGAATTCTGAATGACCGATGGTTGTTCACAGTCGTGCGGTTGTTTCCCTTCCCGGTGTTCCCTCCCAGGGAATTCTGAATAACCGATGGTTGTTGGCAGTTGTGTGGTTGTTTCTCTTCCCGGTTTCTGCTCGCAGGGATGTCACCGGGAATTCCGAATCCCCGGTGGCTGTTCGCAGCCGGGGGGGCACATCGGGCGGTTGTTTTCCTTCCCAGTGTCCGCTCCCAGGGATGTCACCGGGAATTCCCAATCACCGATGGTTGTCGGCAGTCGGGCAGTTGTTTCTCTTCCCGGTTTCTGCTCACAGGGATGTCACCGGGAATTCCCAATCACCGCAGGTCGTTCGCAGTCGGGCGGTTGTTTCTCTTCCCGGTGTCCGCTCCCAGGGATGTCACCGGGAATTCCGAATCACCGCCGGTTGTTGGCGGTCGGGCAGCAGCCTCTGTCGGCAGTCGGGCGGTTGTTTCCCCCGCCGGTGTCCCCTCCCCGTCCGGGGCGGTTCCCGGTGACGCTCCCGCTCGGCGCCGTCGCTCGGTGCGATGCCGGGGGAGGCGGTGACGGTGCAGCTCGGACACTACTCGGGCTGTGTGGGCGCGCACTGGTGGGGGCTGCAGGTACCGGGGGGGGCCGCGGGTGCCGGGAGGGGCTCACCGGGGCTCTCTCCGACCCGTTCCTCCCGCTTTTTCCCGGTTTTCCCCCCTTAGGCCGCCGCGCTGCGCGGCCCCGCCGAGCCCGCCGAGCTCCGCGCGGCCGCGCTGCTCCGCCCCGGGCGGGGGCCCGGCGGCACCGAGACCCCCGAGCCGCGGCTCGTGGCGCTGGAGCTGAAAGGTACCGGGGGTGGGCGGGGGTCTGGCAGCCCCTCCGTGTCCGGGCATCGCCGTGCTCGGGGCGGCATCACCGTGTCCGGGCATCACCGTGCCCGGGGCAGCATCACCGTGCCCGGGGCGGCATCGCCGTGCCCAGGCATCACCGTGTCCGGGCATCACCGTGCCCGGGGCGGCATCACCGTGCC